CATTGACCTTGCCGACCCGGCTCGTAAGCATGATCCCAAGTATAAGTATTTTACTGAAAGAAACTAACGCAATGCCCCAAGAACTCCTCGCCCACGGCAGGACGCTGAAAGAGATGACCAGCCTTATTCAATGTCATGCTTTAGTGTTCCAAACACTCGAGGACTTGAAAGCAGCCTATATAGAAGCAGCTGATGGAAAGAGCCAAGTCAAGGACTTTGAGGTTGGTGTCTTTTGCGGCCAGTACAAGACTCCCGTCCCCCAGAGTATTTCGAGCGTTCGAGTCGACTGCAAGGAAACAAAAAGAGGAAGAGTATGGCTATCACAGATGAAGAGGGAGATGCCGGCGCTATCCTGGTTGCGAGCAGCGGTCCTGTAAATATGTCGGTGCCATAAGAGCATTTTATAATTCTGGCTCCAAAAGGGCATTAGGTATATACTCTCATAGCATTAATAAATCAAAATTGCGTTGGAAGATCAATGGTTCAAAAGTGTAATATGGTGTTACGCTGACAAATTTAGCGGACAGAGGTTCCAAGCGAAACGTTCTTCCAACCTCGAACGAGTCACATCAGAAGCCCTCTCGACGCCTAACATGACCTGACTCTCCGCATTCACTGAAATCTCCTCGCATCAGCTCGACCAACATGCAAGTGTAGGTCAGACATGGCTGACATGTCTAACATCCAGAAGTTATCATCTGACCACCGAGAACTTTTATCGCGCGCCATTTCGACAATCCTCTCCGCACCAGTTGCGGAATTTACCTACGCCCAGATTCTTGATGGTCTTCCAGCTCCAGAGGTATTCCGTGACAGACACTACGGGCCTCTGCATATGGACCATCCCATTGAACATGTTTTCTGCTGGCCTTTGACAGCTTCTCCAAGTATTCCAGAAAGTGTCTGTTCACTCCAGAGCTTTCCAGATGCGACTACTTGAGATGGTAGCCGTAGCTGTACATCGAATCGCTATCATGCTCGCGAACTTGAACGAGAACCTTCATAAGACTGATGGCATCACTTCTTGGGTGCCAGAGCGAGATCCAAGCGCATCCCCGCTCCCGAGCCATCTAAGGAGTATCTCTCCGCCGGTGACGTTATTTTACCATCGTGACTATCAGTTGAAGGAGAAGTATCCCGATGGTGCTACCGACATGGTCGGTTATTGGGCCGAGAATCATTTTTTTTGGAGGCGTTGTGCTCTTTGATCGAGGACAGTCCGGTTTTGATGTACGTCTTCGAGTGTATTTGCCCTGGAGTGATCTGACGTTGATTTTTTAAGTGCAATGACATTTACTTTCACTCGGACCGTGATGGGTGACCTTCCGCATCTACAAGCTTCTCGACACTCAATTCGATGCCTTGGTTAACTTCCTTCCAACTCCATCATCTGCTTCCCTTCTTCCCATCTTAGGAGACAAGATGGATCGAGACCGAGTTGATCCGGATGATGCAATTAGCGATCACAGCATATTTCGCGACCGGTGGGAGCGTGAAATTACTGTCAAAGATGAGGATTATTGGCGCCGGCAATGTGACGTGCAAAGTGTTCTGGACTATTCCGAGATTTAAGATGAAATGGAAGCATTCAACCAAGCCTGGGAAAACAGAGCTTTATGAAGGAGTGAGCGATGGACCGAGATTGAGAGACGTGTTGCATGGAAATTCCCAGACAATTCAGCACGTGCCTTAACTTATGCGATGCGAGAGGAGTTGTTAGTGTCGTTGAAATCATACGCTCTAGTTACTTGCCGAGTGGTGATTTGCTTGCTTCACCTGCAAGCTGTTATCGCAATGTGCGGAAGGTTGTCTATTCGATGCAATGCCAATTGCGTGGCGGGCGGTAGTCAAGAATGAAATGCCAAGTCCAAATCTAAGTCCGAGAACATGACTTGCTTGGATGGCTGCGTTCGTTTGAGACCGGCGTGTTATAATTTGGGTGATCGGCGTATTTTCGTCTGTTTGGTAGCTGCTGTGGCATGGCCGAAACGCTCGCATCCTATCCCGAAACTCGAGAGGGCGTCACATAGCGTGTGGAATAAGAGATAGCTTGAGAGGGAGTGGGTAGGTTGAGATCTGTCTCGAATTGCGAACGAGGAAGAGAGGAAGAAGAGGAGCGAGTACCCTCGCTATGATCAGATTGTTGCGAGCCAGGTCAGTGCTCACTCGGGCACCTTCCTCAGGCTGCTCTTACCTAAGTTCGTCAGGAGCAGCTCGGGCTGCCTGAGGCTCAATTGGAGCTGGCCTCCATCTTGCAACATCCTCCGAAATCCCGAGTCTCTGCAGCAAAACCTTTCGTTGTTCGACCAGCTGCAACCTCGTCAGCGCCTTAATTACGCCGCCATCTTATCGCAAGTAGTTTGCGGGTGCCTTCTTGCTCAACCATGTTCTAGCATTACCGCGAACAGTCCCAGACCTAGCGCTGTCTCCGTCCCCATCGTTGCCCACGTCACAGCTAAGTCCTTTCTCACAACCATGATAATGCCAGATAGGTACTACGCACCACAATAACCCTCCAAGGCGAACTCTAGGACAGCGCCATCCACAATGGGCGGCATGACTTCCCGAGTTGTTGATAAGTTGAACCTATGTTAGAGCTAGTGGCAACTGTCTCCGCCGGAACAATTAGATCCGAGGTTGACATTGGTCGTTAAAAGTAACGCCAAATTATGTCTTAAGTGAAGGTTCGGGCCTACAGAAATTTAATTCACGCCAGCCTTGTCATCAGAAATGAATTAGACCAGCGTCTTAGGTAGCCGGATGGGCATTTGTTACGGAAACATCCAGAAAGCTTCATGCATATTCTCTAGAAACATGACTCTATCTGAACATACCAAACAGCACGTTGAGGCCCAGATCGGCTGCGTATGTTTCAGTTGACGGCAAAAGGTACATCCATTAGAGTAGGAATCGCCATATGTAGCCAATGGACCAATTGTCCAGGTTATGCAATCGCGCCCGACCTTAGGTCCCTAGGTCATCTTGCCTAACTTCATGGCGCGAAGGAAATTGATCAATCCCAACTTTAGCGGTAAAATCGTAGGAGGGGGATAGCGCATGGTTTTAGCGCCCTCTCCACATCGAACAGTCTGATAACCGTCAACTAACGACCGTCAACGTACGCAGCCGATCTGGGCCTAAACAATAGAAAAACACAACAGCAACACAAAAATATCTAAGTGGATTTATTTATTTTTAACAAAGGGTGACTTGAATGTAACCTACCGACACACACGATGCGACCGACACTCATCCAGTCTTGTATTGCTGCAACCCGGCGACGGCATTCGGCCTCACCAGTATCGCGCGATTGTCAAATCAAAGTAGCTATGGATACGACCCCATCCTCGGGTCGGTCAAGTGATCATGGAGCTCAGAGATATCCCACCCATCATATGAGAAGGCATACAGTGGGCGCGCAAAAGTTCCGACAGTCTCCGGATCAACCCTAATCTCCCCGATCATGATCCAGTCTTTAATCTACTATTGTGTATCCAAATAGTATCACATTAAATTACAACCTAAATGAATTTAAAGCCTAGAGACTAGAGATCATAATGATAAATATTGGTATCTAGTATACTAGCTATCTACGCTGACAACCGCTTGTATTAGCCTTAGCATTAAATCTAGCAGATTTTTGAACACTTCAAGTTCAACTTCAATCTCATCCTAAAGCTCCTTCGCGCACTCGATTAAGCGGTCTTTTACGGCCGCATTCTTCGGAGGTTGTGTGGGATCTGGGTATTTCTTATAGACCCGTTCCTTTAGTATTGCCTATAGATTCTCGATCGGATCAAGATCAAGTGAGTATGGGGGCCATTCTATAAGTATGATCCCCTCCCTTTTTGCGTATTTGTACAGTCATCCTTAGACTAACCAGACGTCTTCCGACGCCAGTCTGGCAACTCTCCGTTTGTATGGGCAATTGATCTTTATCTGACCTCAGCTCACCCTAATCCTATATGATTGCGTAGGTTGATCATTTACAAAATGTCTAATATTCGTAGACAATTTCACAAACTCAAGTCTTGCTATTTGAATATCATCCCGTCAGATTGGGACATCGCGCGTGATTTTTCTAGTGAGGTGCGAAACTTTCCGCCTGCGTTTCGCAATAAACCCACCACACGTAAGACTTAAAGAGCGTATTTCTGTCGGCCTAGCTATTGACCTACCCTACGGCGTGGAAATCTGCAAGTCGGGAACGGGAGCTGGGCTCAAAGGGGACTAGACAAACCCAGCGTCTCGAAATCCTACTTTTAGACTCGGCGCTAAGCCCCACCCGCAACCTTGTGAGTGTGCGGCATATATCCATTAACAACGGTGCATGTCTCTAACAAATAGCCAATATACCAATTGTCCAGATGCAATCGCTCCCGACCTTGGGTCCCTACTAGGTCCCTAGTTCACCTATAGCTCTAGGGCTCTTAGGTCCTTAGGCTCCCTAACGTACGCGGCCAATCTGAGCCTAAACAAACAGAAGAAGATAATAGTAAGATAGAAATATATAAATAAATCTATTTACTTTTAATAAAGAGTAACTTAAATATAATTTATTAATATATATAATATAACTATTAATATTATAATAATATACTTAAAAAATATCTCTTTTGATAATTTATTATTTAGAATTAAAGTAAAGAATAGTTATTTACTTAAGATATATATTTTAATAATAATACTTAGTCTTATTAATATTTTATAATTTTTAAACCTTATTAATAGTTTATAACTATTTATTTATTAAATTATTCTTTAGGTATTTAGATAAAAATATACTATAGAATATAAGATAGTAAGTATTAGATTTTCCTAGTTTAAAAAAAACTAGAACTAATAATAATATATATTAAGAAGAAAGAGCCTAACTAAGGATTGAACCCGGGATCTATCACATAACATTTTCTTTAAAAGAATTGGAATCTCTCCCCTAAGAGAAGGTTAGTATTTGGACGAATCAGAAGAAGATGTTAAAAACTAACATTAAAAAGAAGGGGCCTGACCGGGGATCGAACCCGGGATCTGTCACATTTTCTCTGGGAGAACTGGGATGTTTGCCCGAAGCGACAATCTTACCACTAGACCATCAGGCCTCTTTGATGGAGACATGCGTCGATATTATCGTATAGATCGCGGGGATGTGTTGCGTGCGTGGTGGTGGGGCCAAGGGCGCCACGCCCAAGTCAAAATGTGGGGTCCAATGTGGGGTCCGGGTGCGGCCACCATTACCCCAACTATAATCCCCCAGAGACGAAATCCTACTCTCAGGCTACCGGTAACATCTATCTGAATGTCTAACAGTTCAACAGACTGCTGCCACGATATTGTCCATTTGCAGCTAAGGACTGATAAAGAAGAAGAGAAATCCCGGTGAGGGCGCAGTTAACCAGGGGCGACAGTGGGGGGACAGAAGTTTCGCGCGATTTTCCCGAAAACGCGAAACAACCTTCCTTCTTCATCCCTCTTTTTCTCAGCAACTATGGCTCCGAATATTCCGAAACATCACTATAGTTCTCATAAAAGGACGAGGATTGCAATGGCACGCGATTTGGGCATATCTGTCAAGGAAATCGCGTTGAATGAGAGAGTGTCACCGCGATCGGTATCCGGCATCGTTGGATCGGTATCGCGTTCAAAAGTCAGGTCAAAGTGCACCACGCTCTAGAAGGCTACTGCTGCTTGTTGAGAGACATAAAAGACGTATTTTCCGAGAGATTGGGAAGGACCCTTTTTTTACTAGCTCTCAGATTTTTGAGCAGGCGGTCTTCCTTGCTATAATCGTACTCCTATAAGGTCCCTTAAGAAGGAGGGCATCTAGCATATTAGAGCGTCGACACATCATAGAGCGATTCATCATCCGATGGCGAAAAGAGGTTAGCAATGACTTCTACCCAGAATTACGGTTGATTCTCCCTGACAAAGACCGTGATCGGGGAGTCTACGGGCTCAAGGAAAATACTATTAGCAAGCTCCTTATCAAGCTTATGAAAATTAACAAAAACTCCGAGGACGGATATAATCTCCTTTATTAGAAGCTTCCAGGCTAAACTATTGCCTCCCGGTTAGCTAGTGACTTTACTGGTTAATGCTTTAAGGTTATTTTAAAGCGCCTTAGTTCTAAATACTTTTATTATTCTAGAAAATAATCTAGCTACTTTACTTAAGTAAGGATAATCTAGAATTCTAAATTAACTAAAAGCTTAATAATAAGTATATATAAATATAATAATAATAATAAGTATAAGCTAGCTTAATATTATTAAATTATTATAATTAGTAAGCTATAATTATTATAACTTAAAATACTAAGAAATTATATTCTTTTTTCTCTTTAGGGAGCTTATAGTATTAATACTTATAATACTAATAATTTAACCTTTTAGTAATCCTCTAAAGATAACTTTATTAAGCCTTTTTTACTATACTTAAGTTCTTAGAAGCTATAGTCTTTTACTAAAGTAAGAAACTATAAGTATACTATATAGCTTTACTTAAAAAAGAAAGAATTTAAAGAATAGTAATTAGCTATTATAATAGCTATTTTAATAATAAGGATTAAGATTTAAAAAAAACCCTAATCTTTAAATAAGTAATAAAATTAATAAAGAAAAGAAATAAAGATTAATTTATAATTTATATAATCCCTTATATAAATAAAGCTAACTAATATATATATATTATTATTATTATTATTATTATTATTATTATTATTATTATTATTATTATTATTATTATTATTATTATTATTATTATTATTATTTAACATTAATATAAGAAGATAGCTACTATAAGCGTAGGCTTACTACACTATGCTATAAGACCCAGTCCCTAATAACTAGTTTTAGAGTGGATTTATATAATACTAGTTTGCTTGAATTGTTAATATGCCCACATGTGCATCTCACAAACAAAGTGTTACCAGTATGCTTGACTCAGGCGTCGTAAGCAGCTAGCTCACTTGACGAAATAGAATAGAGGATAACATGATCAGTAACAGCGGGCGGTTGCTTAAAAAAGAGGTCAGCCGAGATGTCCTTTCAACTGGGAGCGATTACACCAAAGACAGTCTGAGCACTTGCCGAATGGTGGCGTGGAGCCGGCACCCATCTTCGAGGTATCCCGTTAGTTCAGGATTAAAACTTGTTAAAGAGCTGGTGTATTCAGGATTTCCAAAATCTAAGGAATGGTACTAGTAGTAGGGATGGAAGCGCTCTATGTCACCTACGTAAGTGGCTAAACTAACTCATCACCGCTATACTCAAAGCGATTTTATATCATCCGGCCATCCACCTTCAAGTTCCTATACTTTCTTCATGTCAATCCAGTAATCGAAACATTCTTAATCATTCACGAGCATGTTGCCATGAAATGTTATCGATGAAGGATGTGTATATGTACGCTTACAAGTGCTTGGACTGGTGATCCTGGCCACGTATTTCTTCACGTGTCACTAACAATTCAAGCAAACGATGTCCGGGAAATAACCTCTGAGGTGGTGTGTCTGAGGGCCAGCTTCGGGGTCGAAGGTGCTGGAAGTCATTGCTCGTCGATTAAAACGTCCCCATCCCAGTCAAGTTTCGATGTCGATCTTGGAGACAACACAAGTCGACGCGGTCTGTTGACTCCCCAAAGTCTTTTCCCCCCTGGAGACATGCTGTTTGGCTTCTATAATGTGTGGGAGGGTGTTAACTTTCCCCTGGGATGAAAATGTAACCTCTCGCACTGCTAAGCTGAGAACCTCTGAGCACAGCCTCTTTCGATTTAGGAAGAGTGAAGCTTTGCTGGGAAGCAGGAACAACAAGACGTCCTAAAACTTGGCGAGCTGTCTAAGCCACTGGAGACTATTAGTTCCACTCGAGCTGGCGGGCCTGCTTCTGTCTGCGCCTGGTGTAAGCTGCCTGTGCCTGGTATAAGCTGCTCTTACGATTACTAAGTCGCGTGATATGTCCCGAATACTTCTGAAAGTAAGGGGCCTTTTTTGGGTAATGAATCTTGCTCACAAGGTTCGAACTGAATGGCTGACTGACTGAGTGATGACGACGAAAGGGACTGGTATTTAGACCACAAGCAGGCGCTCTGAGCCTGTAATGAACAATAGCAGAAGGTGTTAATTATCTTCCTGGACCTTAGCAAGCCCTCCAAAGTTGTCATGAGCACATCCCTTTATTTACCCCTATTATACCAACGCCATGGTACTGGATCATGTTATACTTAACAAGACAATGCGACCAAGTCATCACAAGACGAGACGATTCTGCCAGCCCTTGAAGAGACTATGTTAATGGACTTTGCTAAGTCTCAATAGTTGAAACTTCACTGAGCCTACAATGTTCAAGCGTCGGAACTTAGATGCCAAGTATCAACATAACTCAGCCATCTAGGTACTCACAAATAAGTATTCTCAAGTGGAAGGAGAGCATTAATTTCTGTAGTCCTTGGGAGCGCAACTAGAAATGTCATAGAACATGCAATACAGTCCGAAGATGCAAGATGCCGGCACTATGTTGCATCGAACTTGGCAGTTCGGGATAAAATAAAGGCGTTTGTAGTACGATGAACGTAGGTAAAGTGCAGCGTCGATTGTCCAAAGCCTTGCGATGGCACTTCGTGCGTGCCCGCCATGTCGTCTCTTGAGCATTCTTCAACAATGTATCCATCCTATCCTCAGTATGTCAAGGTGGAAACAAGAAGATGAAACAGCTGAGAACGCCGCATCTTCCCTTTCGTATGCGTCGAGATATTGGGGCGCCTTGGAACTGCACATGTAGGTAGCATGAGGGAAGCTTGACGAAGACGTTCAAGAGAAGATGGTAGCTGTGGACGGAGACAGCTAAAATTCTTGATTCATGGCAGAATGGAGGAACTCCATGAATTCAACATGTCGCCACATCGCGGCCACTAAATGAATAAGATGGACTACTCCAATTTGTTACAATTACTTTGCACCAGATTGGTATGGGCTCGGGATGGGCTCCTTCGTCAAGTGGACAATGATCCTTCTCAGGCTCACGGGGGACGAACGCACCTATGTTTGTTGGAGGATCCAAGCCGCAGTGCTTCTCCAAAAAAGCAAAAAACAAAAAGATGGGCTGGGAAAGCCCAGCTACCCTCAGAGCCGAAGCCATATCGTGAACTCGAAGTTGGGGAGCGTGGCAGCTGCTTAAGCATCTATGTCGTTATCGGTTTCGGCCGATCCCTGATGGCTCGCAGAAACAGAAAGCTAGTGGCGGCCAACAATGTAGGTTGGCACCGAGTTGTTGGCATGGGATCGAAGAGAATTCATACGCTAAACGAGTAGAGAAAGGGTTGTCTAGAAGTCTCAGCTGAAGCTACATAGGTTTGACGGGTCGTCGAGATGAGATGAAAAAGCCATACCTGGAAATCGAGCAAGGGCTTCAGACAAATTAGGGAAAACAGAGACGTAGAGAATACAATACAATTTTGACACTCCTCTCCATATTAAGCCAAAGAGGCATAGATCAAAGTACAGATCCAAAATCGGGAGGAATGTGGTGGTACAATATGGTAGCGTCTTGTTGGGCTTCGTGAGGTTATCATGGGGAGGTCAAAGAGCGTATTGATGGATGTTTAGAGTAGACTTTGAAAGAGTTAGGTCTTTGCATTTCATTGAGAACTGTCCCTGCAGGCCAGGATGATTGCCCGGGAACCACGGAAGAGTTCATCCCTCAACGCGTTTCGTTTGACAGGTTCACCAGGCCAACCCATCAAGCAAACTCCCGCACTTCACTCAGAGCAAATCAATTCGTTTAGGTACTTCTTTGTTGCTGTTGTGTTCTTCAAGCTTTTGGGCATGTCACCAAATATCTTATGCTGATTTAACAAAAACTAACATAATTACAGGGGAATCATCCCAGTTCTCTCAGAGAAAATGTGCCAGGTCCCAAGGGCAATCCCCGGCCAGGCCCCGTCATTTTGATGTTTGTTTCGATGTTGTGGAATGGTTTTTGGTTGAGGGAAGCCCACTGCTTTGCAGTGTCATGCCCTGCGGTCAATCTTTGTGCCGGGAACCTAGGAAAACAGTCAAGGTTCAGCAAACAACGTCGAGGCAGCTGTTGATGTCTAGACTAAGCAA